AAGGTGTATAAACAGTGGTAGTTTATTAATACCGTGAGGACGAGCGAATAAGGATAAGGTATGGTAAGGTTAATTGGTAACTGAACGGACGTCTTGGGGTCGAGTCGAGGAAGAATGCCGCCCTCACCTCTCTTGGATCCGCCTCCTAAAGTGTGCCTGTTGTCTTAGGCAATGGACGGACTTTGAAAAGATCGGTCTCAGAATACGTTAGCCGTCAGGAGAATCGCTAATAACATGTCGAGCAAATACGAACGATTCTGCCCCTATGGGTCTTGTGAGCTCCTGTAATACTGCGACCTTATTGTTTGTGAGAAAGACATGCAATTGAATCTGGGAGCATTTCGAAGTTTTGTGGTATTTTACGGAATCATAAAAATTTGTCCGGGATGTTGACAGTTTGAAAAATCCCCAACTGGCCTCCATTTCTGCAAGGAAGTCGGTGTGAATGGGCTGAATTCTGCGAGAAAAGTAATCTGTTTCAAAAATGTAATCCCAATCTCTCATCATCTAAACCATCGACAATGTTTAGAAGTTATATGTGGTAAACGAACTGTTAAGAGCTGACTGAAATGAAGCGTGCATTCCATAATTATACAACTTGTACTTTTTGGGATGCGGCACACCTTCTTCCACTCAGAACCGTAATGACTTGAATGCGATGTGGACTACACAATTATAACGAGGCCAGCCGATGTACAAGCCACCGTTCTTCCAGACTTATTTGGTACTCTTCTGTCCGCGGAGGTAGAAGGCTTGTTTGGCTGAAGCCGTTCCGGATTTGACCCCCTCCCCCCACCGCGCGTGTTGTAAGTGTGCCACTTGCCTCTACAACAACTCCGTCTCATAACCTGTATATTCTACGGAAAGTTCCCTTTTCTTTCGATGCTTCTTTTTCTTTTCTTGGTTCACATATTATTATTCGGTGAATCGTGCAGTGCTCATGTTTTAGGTGTGGTTGGGAGATATCAATGGATCATTACGAGCTCTGCCGTATGGCTCAAGAAACAGCTAGATCTGGCAACGAGTTTCTGTTGAAGAGTCATATAAAATTACAAGATAGGGTCGAACTCGCATGTAGGGTAAGTGCAGGAAAATATTGTGTTTTGAATGAATTCATGTATGTTTCTTTTATTAGATATTTCCCATTCTCGAAGGAACTCTGTACAAATTTAATGTGCTGCGCATTCCAAGCCTTCGAGTACTGTTCGAGAACGCTGTCTGCGAAAAGAAGTGGGTTGACGTTAATTTTTGCCTGGAAAACGTCTTATGCGTCGTTTTTAAATTCAGCACAGAGGATATACTGAAGTATGGATATGATCTGTTGAGAATACAACAACAGTATCAAAGCAAAGACGACTTGGCGCTTTGTCATCTGAAGTACGGGTTGGCACAGGCTCATAAATTGGCCGGGGATCATGACAAATGCAAACAACTGCTTGCTGAAGTCAAAGAGGTAAGTGTTGTGTTGAATGATGTTGAGTTAGTATGGGTAAGACAAAGGCAAAACTTGAGAAATTTTTTGTCCAGAGCTCCTCGATCTACTATTCAAATTTTTACGCTAACTTCCCAATATTTGAGGATGTTGGGCAATTCCAAACAAGTATGTTCCCTGTATGAACGGAGGCAGTGCTGCGAGAGGCAGTACCCCATAGTACTCGCGCAAAACATGAGTCAAATCTCTAATCGGCTCTCGCCACATAAGCCTTGCATTCTCCGGGTTCGGTTGTTCGGGCCAGCTTGTTGGGAGGATGTAAACGTGACTCGTACTATTCTGGCCGGCCCCACAAGTCAATGAGCCATATCACAGTCACTGCTTTTCCTAATAGGAGCGGAATGAGTAGCGAATCATGGAAAGGACATTATTCACGCTGATTGCCCTTTTCACCCTTAGGCTGCGTTTATACTTTGCAGCGTAGCGTAGCGCTTCCAGCGTACGCCAGCGGCAGTGCCGAAGAGAGGATGCATATCGATCTAGCTTCACCAGCGTCACCAGCGGCACGCTGGCGTACGCTAGCGGCACGCTAGCGTACGCCAGCGGCACGCTAGCGCACGCTGGCGTAGCGAGGGCACGGGAAGCATAGCTATCGATCTAGCTTCACCAGCGTTTCTCCAGCGTTTTCCCAGCGCTTCCAGCGACGGGGCTAGAGAGGGGCTAGAGAGCACTGGACGGAGGAGAGTACAAAGTACTCTCCTCCGTTCAGTGCTCTCTAGCCGCCTCTGCTAGGCCTTGCAGCGACGATACGCTGCGCAAAGTAATAAACGCAGCCTTATGTAACATGTCATCTCAGCAAATTCGACGGTTTGTGGCATCCAATCTTATTTTGCTGCTTTTTTTTCTTCTGATCCAGTTCAGTGAAAAGCTGCACACTCACCTCCCTGAATAGTCGAATAGTCCTTTCCTTTGCGAGGTGAGTGGGTCTGTACCTGCAGTAGCAAATCGCCTTTTCCGCTTGAAAGTGCTCAGACGGGAATGGAGGGTATGGTACCCGAGTGCGCCACCATATACCGCCCTCCTTATGCTCAATGAGCAGCTTTCCCATCCTCCAGCGGAACGTGCACTCAGGTGTAGAGAAGGTGCAGAAGTGTAAGAGTGCGGAGACAAGTAGCGCGGTTTGCTATGGTCAGGCATGCATGCCGCTGGCCTTGTGGCTGCGCGTGCGGATTATGAAGACGGCACTCGCAAAACTCCGGATCGGCTCCCGCCCAGGCCAACTAAGCGTTCTCCCCCCTGGGGACGGTAAATAGGTAACAGATTCGTCTAGGAGGGATGGCGCCGCAAGTCAGTGTACAGGCCACGTAGCATTCAAAATGTCACTGCGATTCTGAATGAAAGCAGAATGCATGCCGCATCTCTAAAAGAGATTTCAGCTGCGAGAACTATCCTTTCATACAACTGGCTGGGTAAAATATTCTCGTGGAACATGAACTTTGACTTCAGTTAGCACTTAGTCATTCTGTGTAGATGGTGACCTTTCAGGTTTTTGGAAGGGCGTATGGGACGAACTCGAGGATTTTTGTGCTCCTTGCGTTAATGAGTTGACGTCGTTATTTCTTCTTCTTGTTTTTCCATCTCTTTCAAGGATTTTCTTATAGATTAATCTCTTCCGGTTCTTCATGTTGTCAGTCTATCTTTAATTTTCTAGTTGAATCTTTTTTTTGTTCAGTACCAGTTATTGACAGCGGTACTGAAGAATTTGCTGGCCTGTGATTAGGTAACCATCGTAGACATCAGGACCCTCCGTATCGATGTCTCTCATTGTTTTTAATAAGTCGGTAAGGTGTTTGCTTACTGTCACCATTTGCTCCTGAATTGCCTTGTTAAACCAATATGATCTCGCTTTTAGAGTTCTATTGTTATGTTTCAGTTCAAAATTTGGATAAATATTAGAGCTTGTCAAAGTTTCCATATCACAAATGTGCCGCACATTCAATTATCTTAATTGCTAATCTGCCAATTTCAGCTTAATTAGGTGCACAGTTCTTCTTCAGAGTGTGTAGTTTTGATGTCGGTCGATTTTGGCTGGCGTCGTTTCAACTTCTTCGACAAGAACATTGTAAATGATCCAGAAAATCCAGAGGAAAAGTTTCTGGGCCTGAAGGTGATTATTCATTATTTTCTCAACATCTGATCTATATTACGGGTGTCATTTCCTTTCATAAGACAGGCTGAGGCAAACGACCGCAACCAGCCTTACCGGCTTGGTGTAGAGCGAGGTGACAGCTTGCTGCAGCTAGTAGGCTAGTTGATTCGATCAGTCTAATGTAATGGTGATAGTGTTTTTGATAGGATGCGAGACCTGATATTGTGTTCCGTATTGCCCTGCTTCGTGTGAAGAGCAGCACACTTACGTTGCGGCAACGCGTCGTTGCAAGCGGCGGTACGTATCGCGGCGGCTTCATGTCGCGGCAGAAGTACCTGATAGACTACCAGGAAAGTGTTATGTATGTCGGGTCGGTCAGATGGGAACTGATAGTTCATGGGCGTCTCGCACCAGATATAGCATCCCACCCACCCCAGCAGGAGTCTACGGACAACTTGAGCGTAATCCCTCTGAATGCGCCGATCTTTTGCTTTTCTCTGCACTCTCTCGTTCGCATGGCACTTCATGATCATTGCGACCTTCCACATTGCCGCTTTCCACAGTGGTTTGTGGTTCTCCTTGAAAAGCTCGTATCCTGGCTGGTCACCTGTTATGGCCTGTGCACACCATCGTTGTGAGAAATACAGTGGAAAGGCCGTATTTGGCCGCTGGAGAGGGCGAAAGGGAGGAGGGCGTCGTATCCTGCTGTAAGGAAATTACGACGCCTCTTTCCAGCAGTCAAATCAAGTTTTTCTGAGTGTTGATTTTTCCCTCTCGCGCGCTCTATTTACTACGTTGTTAGGAATATTCCAAAGGGGGAGGGTTCTTACCTGGCGTTGAGAGGAAGTTTTCTGAGGCGCTATAAAGCTTTCCGGTTGCCGACTTTTATTTTTCTGTGCCATCCCCTGACATCAGTTTTTAGGAAAAGTTTGAAAAAAAAAACTGAAAATTCGGTGAAAATGGTAGTGAGTTGGGAAAGTTCGGCAAGATGGTAGGTAGAGCGGAAAAGGAGCTCGTAATAGAGGAGCAAATTAAGGGGTTCGTACTCCGCAAAAATTATACACGACGTCATGGTGCGCCCTGATCCTAACCCGTGCTCACTTTCCTCAGAACCATACGCTCATAATATCAATCCTTGAAGTATGTTGCAGTAACGCGATGTATTCTTTGCCGTATAGTGTTCAATACTGTACAGCTTTTTGGATTTCAGGATGATTTTAGGATGTCTGTGTAGATTGCTGGTGTAGCAGCATTAATGGGGAAGCTGCTTATCTCGGCGAACAACGGGGTGGAGTGTTCCGACTGGGACGAGGACTGGATGAAAACTACTGGAAGGCGTATCAAACGTCTCTTACCGCGCTGCATGTTGCAGAAGAGTTCATATTCTCAATTGGGGTGAGTTCATTTCACAGCTTTCATCATTAGATCCCCTTTTGTCGGAGTGCATGATGCTTACCACCTAAGCACTTTAGAATCTTCAAAGGTCACCAGTTGTGAGCGGGTCTTACCCTCTCCACAACTCCATCTCTCGATTCTACAAAACCTAAAAAGCTGAGAAAAAGCAGGAGATTGCAAGTAAATAGCGCTTCCCTCCCATGACCTTCTGTAGTTTGTTGCAGAAATACAAAACGTCTCCAGGTAATTAAGGCTCATGAGAATGGACCCTGACACACCAAATGCAGTGTGTCCAAAACATTGAACTCGATTGAACTTCTGATTTCCTAGCGGTATGGCGTCTCGTTCGCTCTGCTCTTAATGTCTGACCCATATGCAGAGGAATCCAACCATTTTTTTTTCTGCAAACCACAGCTTTGACAATGTAGTGAGCAGAGTCCCTCTGATATCATACGCTCTCCATCTCTGCCAGAAGCGAAAAGCATACAGTTGGGAGCTTCATAAAAGGTGCCAATTGCGAATGAGGTCGAAGGTCCAGTCATCAATGATCTGTCATTCAACCGTTTGTCAAATGACACCGCACAGGCAACTCTAGGCGAATCGCCTACAACGGTCTGGTTTGTTCTTGTCGGGTGAGCCTGACAGTGAACGACAGTCCTCTTGCGCACCCGTTGCGCTTACCATTTTCTCCCGATTGCCCCTCAAAAGCGCGCCCACTGGCAACCAACACTGCGTCTCGCCTTCGCGAGACTAATGTTATTTTTAATGCTTATCCCAAGTGCAGAATACATCCTTATTACGTCTTCCCTTGACCATAAAATGAGACAGCATGATTGTGGCAGCGGAAAGCGCAATAAAGGCTTGCCAAACCTTTAGATATTTTGAATTTTTTCCACTTACTCAAGAATGCATAAGGGCGAATGGCGAGCTCAGCAGACAAGCAATCAATTTCTTCATACCGAAAATATTTGCATTATTGCATGGACATTGATGGTTGATTTTCTATTCTTAAGGAAGATGAAGAGGGAACGAATTCGATGCTGAAAATTTGGAAGGGAGACTGCTTTGAAAAAGGAGTTCCAGTTCTTTGTAGGGAGGTCTGTTTCTTAGCATATCATTCATCAGAGAACACACTCTAAGCTCTGTGACGAGTTGCTTTTTCATCTCGATTATTTTTAACAGACAGTATTTGTCCTTTGTGATCCCTTTCCGATGCGCAGGCTAAATTACATTGAGATATTTTGAGCGGTAGATTCTAGAATTTCTTCCGCAGCCGCAGTGGGACAACCCGCAGCCATACTGGGATCGCTGAATGAGTCGGAAGGGGGAGGCAGGCTACTAATGCCCCCTTTTTGTAGCCAGAGGTTGATCAAGGCAGTCATGGTCTTGCCCGCATTCCTTAGCTGCAAATGGTCATGTAGAGGAGACCCTCTTCGCAGTTCACAGCCACTGTGAAAAATGGTAAACGAAAATTCAACAATAGGCCGTGCATGAGGGGAGTTCTAGACGTGAGCGCGGTAGTTTCTGAATTTCTTGTACTTTTGGCTTCGTACCACTCTTCCCTTGCCTTTCGTTCTATAATTATGTGGTGCGAAGTTTACAGGTACTTTCTAGGACGATTAAGGTGAATGATTTTTAGATTCGAATCAGCACGGTTCATCCGTCCTCACACTACTCCGTAGCTGCTTGTGCTGTTGCAGTACATTCCACACTCTCTGCAATTGTTATAGGTTTCGTTGATGGGACCGTGTTACTCTACCAAGGCAACGTGATCAAGGATAAGGTGATAAACTGCAAACGGTTGTTCCAAATTTCAATTAGAAGTCTCTCTTTTGGAAGGCCCTAACTTCGCGATGGCAACGCATTCGTGATCCGCTACCTCTGGATGGATGTGTGTCTGGACTTGCTCTCGCACAACTACCTGGAGAAAAATTGGTGGTATTTGTGATCACCACGAAAGTCGTCAATTCATACGTCATTGAAAACAAAACTGTGATAAATTCGGTACGGCTTTTATGTTTCCTTCAATGTCAGCTCTTAAGAAACCTGATTTGCAAGGAAGTATAGACAAACAAGGCTTCCATTCGTGTGCTATGTCGCTGCATCGCTGATGACAGCTGCCGTCTGTTTACTAGGTTAGAAATTTTATTGAAAATATGATAGCCCTCATTACCAGGTAAAAAATTTCTTTAAACTCAACTCGAATAATTTTCCTAAAACATTTAAGTATTCCCTAAAACGTTTTTTCAAAAAAACTTTTTAAAAAATTTTTTGATTCTGTCGTATTTAAACTCGTTTTCCTACCCTTCCTTACTGATGAGCACGGAGGGAGGATACCGTGGTTGTCTAGCTTCCGTCTAAGGGCACGTGCGAAACGGAAACTAGACTACTTCCTTGAAACCAATAAAGATATAACTAAAAGATATATAAATAAAAGATAAAAATAAAGTTAAATTTTAATGTTTCAGTATATGTATATTATATCACAGGTTTGAACATCAATGTTATAATCATAAAAGTAAACTGATTAAATAACATGAAAATCACATTATATATACTATCATCATATAGCAGCTCGAGGGAAACCCGACGCTGTGTGGTGATAGTACCTGAAAAGGGTATTTACAAAATTGTAATTGTCTTTCATACTGGTTTAATTTTCGCACAATATCATACATTCAGCATGTAAGCTAAGCATTAATCAAATGAAATCCAACATCAAAAGCAAGCTAAGTATTGGAATCTGTGTTCCAACCAAGAATCTTTGCACGTCGTACTGATGTGCACCATCTTCTGTTTCGGCCAACAGCCGTCATACGTCACAATGACGTATCCCTTCTTCTGTTTCGGCCAACGGCCGCCATACGTCACATTGACGTACCAGCTCTTCAGTTCCGACCAATGGTCGTCATACGTCAAATTGACGTGCCTTTTTCATTAAATTTATTAAATTTTGTAAATCATATAATACATATAAAACACTAGCCTTTCGGTGTATCATCAACTTATATAAAGTTATCCACTCCTGATCTAAGTACGTAAACACAACAACTCAAAGCTACACACCTCTTTTACCCTCCTCTTTATAATTAAAACAATATTTGAGTCGTAACTGTCTAAACTTATACCATATCACTGATTACTTATAAGTTTTTGAAAGAAATCTAATAAAAGAATGGTACTTAAATAATTATTACACATATATTGTTTACCTTGCCACTAAGAAAAAACAGTCAGATTTTATTCCATATTCCTTTACCCAAACCTTTTATAAACTTATTAATAACCTTAACTATTATACAAGTTCACAAATATGTTATAAACAACTCGTTAATTTTATTTTTGTTTTTATTTTTATTTTTTTATTCTCTTTCACAAAATCATTGTATAATTCTTTAAACATGGGGGCCATACCCCTTTAACAATAGGGACTCTTTTGATAGGGTTATAAAAGCGGATACTAGCAGAGGGTAGGTACCGCGCCTTCGAAAGGGTCAACAAATACATACTTACACAAACCTTCACCAATGTTCACATTACTGTAAGGGCTTGCAAGTGCCCAGGGCAAACCCCTTTAAACTTCCCTCCAGTATGTGGGCTGGGCCCCTCACATACTTCCACCATGGCCTACAACAACCATTAGTAGCAGTAACTATTATTACAATAAAACATTTTACAAAAGCAAGGTAAACAACATATATAAACTAGATGATTTCGGTACCACAAACCATGCTAATATTTGTAAGGCAGGATGCAAAAAATGCGATCTTATAGACAAAAATGATTATATCATTTCAAATACTACAAATTTGAAAATAAATACATATATAGATAATAACGCTAACTGCTGCAGTAAAAACGTAATCTACTGCCTTAATTGCTTAGAATGCGGTTATCAATATGTAGGACTAACGACTAGAGAACTTAAGACAAGAATGGGAGAACATATGTACAACATACAAAAGAATGATACAAGCAAATACTTATATAGACATTTCAATGGCAAATGCAATAAAAAACTTTTATCGTTCTCTATATTAGATAATCTGAAAGAAAACGAAGACAGGATAGTTTTAGAGAGCAAAGAAGCTTTTTGGATCAAGCTGCTAATTACAGCATATCCTTTTGGAAATAATGACAATGTAAAATCTTACGGGAATATATCCAGTATCGTTAATCCTCTTACATACAAACCCGAACACCCATACTTTACACTTAAAATTCTCAAGAAAAGAGAAAGAAGAGGCAAGAAAAACAGGACAGGTAATAATAAAAAAGATATCAACGAAGAAATCAATAAATTCAAAGAGATATTACAGAATACGCTCAGTTTGAAATCTATTAAAAAAGAACTATACAGCCTTAGAAAGAAAACCATTGTAAAAATAATTCAATTGAGCTTCTCAGACACATTCTTCACCAATATCACCGAAGAGAAAAAGTTCTTATTGTTGTGCTTGCTATGTAACTTCCACTTTAAGACTCACGCAATCAATATTTCTCAAAACAAAACCTTTTGCAATTTGCCAACCCTTTACATTCACAACGTACTGGATTATCTTAATTTGAATAAAATAATCAACTCAAACATTATCACACAAATAATCAGAAGCAATTCAACAGTGAAATACATCCCTTTCAGAGTTGTATACAAATACGGTGAACCAGCGTCCAAACTACTATTCAATTATAATCGAACACTTAAAAACATCACAAACGAAGAAGTTAGTAGAATAATAAATTCTCAATGTATATGCGAAACCAATGATTTTTGCCAATACATAGACAAATTTCATGGACATGTAATAACAGGTAATACAGAAATCATTCATAACAGTCAAGTCAAAAATATTCTAGATAAAGGATGCAAATACAGAATTTCTACACAAATAACCAAACGGGATATCATAAAATGGATCCAAGAAACAACTAACAGTTATACAAACATCATAAAGAACAAATATAAACTTAGAGATTCAGTATCAAAAATAATAAGTGACAACATTAAATATAAAATACATAAAGCTCTGAAACCGAAACTCTTCTCTTATTGGCTGAACAAAAACAGCATTTCACATGGAGATTTTAATTATCTTAAAAATGAAGTGAAGAAACTACAAGAATTTTTCATATTCTGCCCACTAGATAAAGCAAACAACAACTATGGCATCATATGCAAAAAATTGTACATTCTGAACATCATGAAAGAAATGGGTATAGAGCACAATGATAATTTTCAATTGCATATTCTAAACACCAATGTTACATACACCCATGGTAATGAAACAAATCAAGAAAGCATAATACAGAAGCATAAACAGTTCAATAACAATAACAATATTAAAAATATAGATACTATGAATATACCGATAATTTATGCCATACCTAAACTACACAAATCACCTATAAAATTCCGATTTATAACAGCCTGCAATTAGAACAAGTAGTCTTAACCTTTATCCAATGGACTCACAAGATTATGAAAATTATCATTATGCTCTATATACATTTGCTACGTATTATTATAATTAATGAATAATCGTGTTTTGATGAATATGACATTCATCAAACACACTTCATCGAATTATAATAATACTATCAAATGTAAGAACACTCAATTCATAGGATACTGGGCAATCAATAATATTAATATCAGCGAACAGCTTCAAAATTTACATATGGATGATATGAAGCTGTTTTCAGCCGATTTCACTAATATGTTCACCAATTTACCACATTCTAACATAATGTATAATATTAAAGAAATACTTAAAATTTGTTATAAGAACAGCAACAAAAATTACATCGCTAACAATGATTACAGAACTTTCTATACAAATAGTACAAATTACAAAAATTACAATTATTACACGATTGCAGATATAGTCTATTCACTAGACTACTTATTAAAAAACAGTTATTGCAAATTTTCAGAATATATATTTACACAAAAAACCGGAGTTCCACAGGGAAGCAATGTTAGTCCCTTACTAGCTGATCTTACGCTATCCTATTTCGAATATATCTACTCACTGAACAATTATAACAACAAAGATATGCAGATAAAACCGTTTAGATATATGGACGATATACTTGTCATACACAATAAAAATACACGATTTATTCTTGACAAGCTCAATGAGATTTACAAAAACATCTTAAAGTTAGAATCAACACATAGCGACGAATACAACTGTAATTACTTAGACCTAGAAATTAATATCAAAGCAAACAAAATATATACTAAAATGTATAACAAAACAGATAGTTTTAATTTTTCAATAAAACGTTTTCCTAACGCATCTACAAACATTTCATGCCGTATTAAATTAAATACAATCTACTCAGAAATTCTTAGAACAGCTAGAACGTGCTCCAGCGTGGAGGATTTCATAGACAGATTAAAACTAACTAGCAAAAAGTTAATAGAGTCAGGTTATGAAGCCGAAACATTTTCTAATTGTTTCATGAAATGCTTTAACCAAGAATAATTTCATAATTCATAAATATGAACTTCAAATAGATAGAATTCTCCGCTCTGTCTAAAAATCTTCACCAGTTTACGTCAAAAACGCAACCATAATGTCATTGAAATTTGATAAATCAAGCTTGGAATACAAATGTAGGGACTAAACCAACAAATTGTTATTTTCAAATTAAAAATGATTCCATTGGAAAGGGATGCAAAGATAAGCAAGATAAACAAACCTATAAACAGAACACTGAGAAACTCATTTCATTTATTCCAATACTGTACAAGAATGCGGTCAACAAACGGTGAGTGTTTCAAAATTTGAACAATAGTCAAAATTTTATAAGTATAAAGCACATATTTTGTTCGAAGACGAGGATAAGAAGAAAAGGTAACGGGTGAGTGATAATATCACTTTGTCTACTAAAAAATTTTATTGAAAATATGATAGCCCTTATTACCAGGTAACAGAAATTTCTTTAAACTCAACTCGAAAATTTCCTAAAACATTTAAGTATTCACTAAAACGTTTTTCAAAAAACTTTTTAAAAAATTTTTTGATTCTGTCGTATTTAAACTCGTTTTCCTACCCTTC